ACTATTTTTTATTTAAGAATTAATTAGATGATGATATTAATATAACAAATAGACTTTTTAATTAGAATGTTAAAAGTTGACTTTTTTTAATAAAAATAGTTAAAAGTTGATATTTTTAAATAAAAAATTAAAAAATGATACTTTTATTTAAAATTTGATAAAATTAATATTTTTAAATAAAAAAAATATAAAGTTGATATCCTTATTTATATCTTTTTGTATTTCTCGAGTCTTAATTTAACTCTCAAGGGACTTAAGAGGAATAATCATAAAATGAGGGGTATAGTGTTATACACAAGGTTTAGACTTAATTGGTTCAATTAAGACTTAGAGGATTTAATTGCTAGTGTTTCGAAACTTGATTATTTAATTGTAAATCAGTTGGGTATTGAATTATCTGATGGCTACCGTAACCTAACTCAAACTCACACTTTCCCTCAACGACAACCAGCCGCACCCCTCTTGAAGTTCTCAGATTCCATCTCTTCCCAACTCCGTTTTCTCATCAATCGGTAAGGTTTCTTTCATGTTTGCTAATAGGTTTTCTTTAGATTTCTTTCGTATCTTCATTCTTCCACTGAAGCCGTGACTAGGCAGCCATTTATATGAAATTTCCAGCCCTAATTCTGCCCGAATTTGTGCAGAAAATTCTGGGTTTTGTCACGCAAATTCTTAGTCTTGATCTCGTTTTTAAAGTGGAAATTTTGGACTCTGAAAAATTCAGGTAAGAGTCATGGTCTGAACTTCCAAACCCTGCTGTTTTATGTGTTATATTTAGGATGTTATTGTAATTTTGCTATAAAAATTTGGTTACAAGTTGTCCGTACTGTTGCTCTGTTTATACTTGCTGAGCCTCGACTTCTCTGATTGATTTCATACCAGAAAGCATGTTTTTCTGTAGTTTAAGTTCGCACTGCTGACTGCTCATGCCATTTTCACACTAAAAATTACGCACAACACAACCTTAAGTAGCTCAGAATTTCACTTATAAGTAGCTGCTATTTTTTTGCTTTAAAACCCTTGTTGTTGTTCTATTTTGTGGCTGCAAATCTACTCTGTTATGCTTGGTTAAACCAATGAAAATCTGTCATGTTTTAGTGTCATTTTGCTTGAAAATTTTGCACAAAACAGTCCAGATTTTTACTTACATTCAGCTGCTGTTTTCTTCACTTTTCTACTGAGTTTTCACGCTGGTTTTACTGTTGTCTTTGCCCAGAAAATCTCTGCCGTTCAGGGTGTTTTCTGAACATTTTGAGACTGTTTTAAATGGCAGAAAACCCACCTTGCTGCCCAACTTTTTCCACTGCTGTCTAGGGTTGTTTCAAGCTTGGTTCTCACTAATTCTACTCTACACTTTATTTTGCCCTGAAAATCTGTTTGGAATACCTGCTGTTTAGAGTTACACTTGGAGCTGTTTTAAGCATGTTGCTTCCCTATTTAGCTGCTGCAAAATTCTGGTTTCATGTCTCTATTTCCCCTCACAATTAGGTAAATTTTTAGTTTCTAGTTTAGTAGAAAGTTTGGGTAACTAATTGATGAGTAAGTTGAGCATTGTGGAATTGAGGTTGTTGAATATTTTTTTGTTAGAGTCCAAGTAAGAAGTATGAAGTAAGTTTGGAAGAATTATAGAATCAGGAAATTATCTTGAACAATTGGAATGTTTAGCTTGACTCGGTTGGTAATAGCATTTCTCTCATGAAATCTTTGTTAGGTTCTTGAGTAGCCTTGGCATACTAGCTCTGGAATTTTGATTGCTAGGACCTGATGTAAGGAAATGTGGTTCATGGCTGCCCGTTTTAGCAAGAAAATGAGTTTTCTGCAAAAATTACTAGTTTACCTGCTTTTTTGCTACTTTACTTAAAGTGTGTTTTCACCTCTGTTTTGCTTTGCATCCTTTGTCCTATAGTTAAATATTAAATCAGAATTTAAAGTACTTGTTTTGAGAAAAAGAAAGTGAATAGTTGGAAAATGATGATTTTGCTTTTACCTTAGATGTTCTATTAAAATCATGATTATGCATGCTTGATGGTTTTGTTTTGATATAAGATGCTTGATGGACTTCTGAATATGTTTCTTTTGTTTATAAATTATAAAATTTAATCTGTTTTGCCTGCCATGGTAGCTTGTATTCTGATTTCTGGTAGCCAGTGGGGTTAATAGCACCAGCCACGTCTGCTCAACATGCTTTCTGATTTCTGCCAGCCAGGGGGGTTAATAACTCTGGCCATGTTGATGTGTCTGTTATGAGATGCTAGCTAGCTTATGATATTGTCTGTTATGCACTCTTTATGGGTGTTATGATTCTGCATCATGGCAGACCTTCTGGATTTTTATTATGAAATTTTGTTCCGTATGAGACTTGGCTCACACATTTGAAAATATTCTGAATATCTGGATTTTAAAAGACTTTGTTCACACATTTAAACATAATTCTGAATATTTGGAATTTATCTACTACATGGAGATTTTGTACTTCATAAACATGCATGATACTGTCGTGAACTTATTTTCCTTACTAAGTTGCACTCACACCTGCAAACCAACATTTTCAGGTACCAATCAGAGGCAGGCCAACAGGGCTAATTGAGAGAGTTGAGATTAGATAGCAACCTTTCAAGTGTAGTTTAATAATAAGTTGAGATTATCATTATTTGAGTTTAGAGATTTTTTTTGTGATTTTGTCTATGGAGGCTGTAATTGTTTTGGGTTCTAAGAATTACAAGATAATATTAATGATGAGTCATGATATGGAGTAATATTTGGAGCTAAGTAAATATTTGGAGTTTATTGAATTTCAGAAATGAAGTATTTTGGAGTTATTAATTTGAGTTCAATTGTAAGCAAGTTCTAGGTCTTGTACATTTGTAGTCTTTACAGGTGTATGGTGTTTTTTCCCGTACAATAAGTTGAGATTATCATTATTTGAGTTTAGAGCTAATTTTTGCATTGGTTTCTCTAGCAGTCTCACAATATCACAGCCTGGATATCTGTTCTTTCAGTTTTTCCCCGTCAAATCTATTCTGTGTTCTACTGTTAGATTGTTGTTAATTTCATTCTCTTTGGTTCAGCTTCAGTGATGGATGTTGATCACTATAGTTTCTTGGGCTTGCCATCAGGAGAGGAAGGGGCCAAACTGACTGAAAAATAGATCTCCAAAGCTTACAAGCAACAAGCTCTTGAACTCCATCGAGACAAGCCCCCTGATGATCCGAATGCTCATGAGAATTTTCAAAAGCTCTAGTCATCATATGAGATTTTGAAAGATGAAAAGGCCCAGAAACTTTTTGATGATCTTCTCTGTGTAAAGCGTCAGCAGCAATGGTTCAAGCATGAGCAGCAACTCCACTATGAACAACAAGATGCTAAATGCCGGAAAATGATGTCTGATCTTGAAGAAAGAGAGCGTGCTGCTTTTGCTCCAGACCTTACCGCTAAGGCTCGCGAGGAAGAGGAAAGAATATCAAGGAAGTTGAAGAGATAGCAAGAATACGTGCAATGCACATGAACAGAGGGGCAAGTGCAGATTCTGGTTTGAAGGACAAGGGAGGGACAAAGAAAAATGTGGGAGGTGGTGTTGGGTTGGCAGAAAAAGAAAAGATGTTGAAGGTTTCATGGGAGAAGGTTGGAGAGGATTATACAGCAGAGAGATTAAGGGAAATACTTTCAAGATTTGGGAAGATTGAGGATGTTGTCGTAAAGAACTCCAAGAAGAGGGGATCTGCACTTGTTGTGATGGGTTCTAAGGAGGCAGCTGTAGGTTTCATTCTCTTCTTTGTGGTTTTGGACATGGTTCAGGGATTCTCAAGGAGTGCTTATGTTGTTTTTCTTTTATTTTGTAGGTTGCTGCTGCAGGGAGTTTAAGTGGGAGCCTTTCAAATCCACTGCTGGTCGTACCTCTTCAACCAACACTAGCAGCAGAGTTTTCGAGTGCTGAAAAAGCTGAGGAAGATAATTGTGTGAATAAGTTGGTTGGGGCTGGTTATCAGGCGTATGAAGATTCTGTTTTGAAGAAGCTCCAAATGGTATGACAGTACGACCATTTGTTATTATTAGCCAAATGATTCATTCTAATTTTGATTTTATTCTTTAAACTTCTATCTTTATATCATTCAATTTATCTTAGATATTTTGTTTTTCCATGTCTTTAAGTTGTGAATTAACCAAAAACATTATGTCATGTCCATTACAAGGTGATTAAGATTTCATCATCTGGCTTTCAACTTTCACCTTAGGCCTAGATTTTCATTTCTCCTGTGTATGATAAAATTGACGCTCTTTAGTTCTTTTGATGTACCACGGTAAGGATTTTGTTCTTTGTAATTTGTGTTCTTTCTGTTTCTAACTTCATTATCTCTCATCTCTAAATCTGAACAGGTTGCAAAGAAACAGAAGTGATAGCAAAAGCACTGCAGGGAAAGTATTGCTTACTACCCCATCTGGCTTTTGATCTTCATATCTCTCAATCAAAGGTACTTAAAAGAGAAAAGATGGCTTGCATTGTTGTAATATCTCAAAATTTTCTAAAAACCTTAAGATTTAAGTTAGGGACTTATGTGGGAGAAATTATTATTGATGGGCCTAATAACTAAACTTTCCAAACTTAAGGGGGGTTAAAAGAGAAAAATTTATTGATAAAAGGGTTAAGGCTGGTTTTCTTTTCTTTTTCCCCACCCTTCCTGCGTGTTTTCCAGCCCCTCACCCGAAGCTCTGCAGCCACCAGCCCTAAGCTGCCCCAACACCTCTTCACCGTGAGAAATAGGTAAACTTAGCTCTTTCTTCCTTCTCTTAGCAAGGTTTAGAGATCAATGAGCTTATGGTTTCAAAATTATGCTAAAAAATTCTAGATCTGGCTGCTGCAACCTCCCAATCTCTTGGTCTGTGTTGGGTTTGTTGTCCATAGTAACGGATTTTAGGGTTTTCAATTTTTGGCATTTTTCTGTAGTTTTCCTTGGTTTTGCCCTAATGCCACCAGATTTGATTCCTTTTGCTAGAAATTCTGACAGGATGACTATTCAGTAGTGTTTTGCCCATAACTCTTTTTGTAGATATCGGATTGAGTTCATTCTTGATTTTATAGAAAGTTAAGAGATAGCCCTACAATTTTTATGTTGGACATTTAACCCAGTTAAGCTGTTTTCATAAAAACTCTGTTGCAAGCTCGATTCTTGTAGCGAACAGAACTGGCAGCTCGATTCTAAGTATTTTAGCCATGACTTTCTTTGTAGATGTTGGATTAAGGTGATTCTTGATCCTAAGGAACGCTAAGACATGGGGTTATTACAATTTATCTGTTAACCATTCAACCCTGATCAATCAAGTTCTGGGCACAAATTCTGTTGAAATCTCCTGTTCAAAATCAGACGAAAACTTGCTCGGAAATTTGCTTTATTTTCTGTTTTATTCCCACATTATGTACTGCTGCATCGCATCATGGTTTAGGAGACTTTTAACTGCTGTTTTCCTGCTCTAAAACCCCTTGTTATTGTTTTGTTTTGGTTGCCTTTTTGCTACTGTATTTTTTGCTTGAATACTGCCCAGTTTTGGCTTGTCTGCTGCACTGTTTTGCTGCTGTTTCTACCCATAAATCCTTGCTGTTTTTGTCCAGAAAATCCCTGTTGTTTAGGGCCTTTTCCAAAGACTTTTAAATAGCAGAAATCCCCACCTTACTGCCCAGCTTTTGTGCTGCTGCTTTGGAGTAGTTTTGAGATTGGTTTCTCACATTTTTCCACTTTGTTTTATGTAGCAAATCTGCCTAGTAAACCTGCCATTTGTAGGGTCTTTTGTTGCTATTTTAGGCATGTTTTAAGTGTGATTATACATAGGAATATATATACATATATTGATAGGGTTTCAATGGGTAGAAGTGACCAGGAAGTGTAGAAAGAAGTTGTTTCTTTGGGTAGAAACTTGATTTTGGAATTAGGAACTAATTTGGTTCAATAGGATATGTTGTAATCTCGTTTGTTCTTTGATGTGGCTTAGGTTCTAAATCACTTTCACCACATTAAGATTTTGAATTCTTGCTTGTTGTGTATCTATAAGGTGAGATAAGTAAAATTATGGTAAATGCTCTTGGATTTTTAAGGTAAAGGTTTTAAAAGCTTATTAAAACTATTTTGAGATGGTGGCAGGACTTAACTTGATTTTCATTAGCACGAAACATGATTAGTTTGAAAAGAAATTATTTTATTAAGTTGAGTATGCTTACATGGAATTTACTTGATTATTTTAATGATCTAAAATTGGTTATGAATTATGAATTTTTTGTTAACTCTTGCATGGATTTATATCCAATATGGTTATGAATTTTGTTATCTTGTCGATGGGCGTTATAAATGCCGGCGCATGTTAACATGTATTTTTGTAGGATCGGTTCATTTAGCTAGTGGGATCGGTTCATTTAGCCAGTGGGAGAGTACACTAGTACTTTTGTTATCCTGTTAGTGAGAGAGTACACTGGTATTTTTGTTATCCTGCTAGTTGGGAGAGTACATTGGCCATGACTAATTGAAGAGACCGCATTGATGGTTTATAACCGAGATATTTTTCCTTCTATTTATGTCTTAAATTGTGTAGTTGGCATGTTTTAACTTTAAATAAGGGCTATTTATATTTTTACTTACTGAATTATCTCACATAATTTTTTCTTATCCACAAATTTCAGGTAGTGAGACCCAAGATGTGGGAAACCAAAAGGGGAGTGACGAGCTAGATAGTTAGCCATTTGTATTTTGGATTTTGATTATTGTGGAGTTAGACTAGGGATGTCAACGGGGCCGCACGGGGCTAGAGAGTCCCTCCCCATTCCTGTCCCCACGAATGGTGGGGACGAAAATTCTCGTGGGGATTTTTTATGAGAGGTAAACTCTATCCCCCATCCCTGTTCCTCGCAGGAATTCTCATTTCTCACCAATTAATATTAAATTATAAATTTTTATCTTTTATATATAATTAATTAATATTCAATTATAATAAATAAAATTTTAAAAATTCAAATACAATTAACTAAAATTTTTAAATATGAAATCAAATATAAATCGTTCAAATATAAATAAAAATCAATTTAATATAAATAACTAAACTAATAATTAACAAATTTATTCCAAATATAAACAAAGATTAATCCAAGCTAAATTAAAATATAAGTAAAAATTAATTTAACATAAATAAAATAATTAAACCAACATAAAAAAAAATTTAGTATTTTGAAAATAAAGAAAATCAATACCAAGAAGGGCAAGGCTACAATAGAACCACATATGGCTTCGGCAATCTAGATAGCAGAAAGCAGATGGCTTTGACAGTTTTGCAATAGCAAGTAGATGGCTTCGATAGTTTGGCAGCAGCAGGCAGATGGCTTCGACAGCAACAGACCAGTAGTGCAGTGGAGGGAATGGGATTTGAGATGGTTCGATGGATGCAAAGGAGAAAACAAGGGGCGGCAAAAGGTGAGCACTGGGAAGGGCAAGGGTAGAATCGTAGAAGGGTGGCAATGGAATGGAAGGCATTCAAATGGTAGAGTCGCATAATAGGAGAGGGCAAGTCGGGGAAGGTGAAAATGAAAATTGAGAAATGAATTAGGGTTAGGATTAAATATATGTAGGGGAATGGATTGGGTTGGGTAAAATTGAATTAAGTTTAATTTTGATTGAATTGGATTTGAACTTGAGTTTGGGTTTGGGTTTGAGTTTGAAAAGTGAATTAAATTTAAAATAAAATTAATTTATATTTGTTTTAATTTTTGTGGGGGCGGGGAAAATTCCTCATGAAATTTTGCAAGAGGAAAATGCTCCCTATCCTTGTTTCGTGGGGAGGAATATTCTTCCTCGTCCCATTCTCGTGATGGGATCCCCATAGGGTCCCACGGGGATCAAGGGAAATTGCCATCCTTAAGTTAGACCGCTAGTTACCTATATTTTTGGACATAAATATTGAAAGATAGATCATTGGAGATTAGATCCCCTAGGAGATTGACCTTATTGATAAATTTTATTTTGAGATTGTAGATCTTAATTTAGTGGATTGATAGTTATGAATTATACATTATGAATTTAGTAGGTTTCGAGCTTAGTACATTCGTGGGATCCTCTCTCAAGTGTATAACATTTGTTTTGCTCCCAGTTTTGAGGTGTGACAATTGTAATTTGATGTTTCTCATTATTTTCTAGTATGTTAATTTAACATTGTTGTGTACTCGAGAATTTAAAAAAGTATATATTACAGTTACATCCGCAGTTAGTGACAATGTC